GGGGGGCACCGGGGAGTTCCCCGAAAGCCGTCCGAATGCGCCTTCTACTTCTACACCGGTCAAAATAGTGGGAGGCGTTCTGCGGGAGAGGGGATCTCCCGCCAAATCGCTCCTCAGTACCGCATCAGCGCCGTCAGCTAGTCAACCAGTGGTTGTCTATATAGATTTTCTTTCCACGAGCACAGGTTAGTCGTCCCAGCGAAAGTAGTGTAGTGCGGATGACGGATCTCTAGTACCGACTAACTACTGGTAGAAAGAGACAACACGCCCTTGCGGACGGGCGTCTAACCTTGCTTCCCTTTATTTAACTTGGCAAGTACAGAGTGGTCAAGGCTATGTTAAAGAATGTATCGAGATTCTGTCTTTTCTTACATGGTTTATCATTTCTGTGCGACGAGTGAACAGTCGCTAACGGCGAAACAAACCTTATATGTCGCGCCGGCACCAGGAGTCGCACCGGCATACCTGCTAGAGGACACCTCCTTATAGATGTGTTTACAATGTTTTGTTTACCTCATAATTTTTAGCAGTATTACAGTGAATTCAACATGTGATTTGTAGATAACATGTCTCAGATTTGTACTGTCTCAGTAACATAACAATTTTTATTTCCAGTATTATTGTAAAGATCGGACACTATGCTGTACTAAATTTTTTTTAGTCCTTGATCTTATTCTTTTTACACTCTTGAGTAATGCCATCAGCTTGGGTGTGGTCTCTGCTAGAAACATTTACACTCAATAAACTTTTCATCAAACAAAATATTTGTTTTAAGCCGTTGAAGTTATTTAAAAATGATTATTGTTAAATAATTACACATTCTGCACTGTCTTTGATGCAGCTGCAAACTGTTTCTGAACGTAGCATCCGAAGCTCTTGTAATGTTTTGGTATTCTTTCCATCGTTCAAATCGCTCCCAGGAAAAATTGTACAATTGAATTAGTTGGTCAAAATGGGAAAATGGTTAACTCAGCGAGCCCTATGCGTGGTCATGTGGGGCACAACATTAAATGTGCCATATGCAGGCGTGTCTTGTACAATTCTGAACTATATTTCTTAATTCCATACTCTATATTTCATTTCAGTCGGCCATCCACACCATACCATGCAGCTGCTCTTGGTCGCTGAGCAGAGAGTTCTCCTCCAGAAGGTAACAAGCCAATATAAACCCACCCTGCAGCCACTCAAGACGGAGGATAGGCGAGTCAGCATCACACCAGGCCTCACCGTCACTCCGCCTCAGCCTGCTTCTCAGCAATCACAAAATCAATACTATGATTATGAGCCAACCTACGCGCAGCAACGCACAGGCCACAAGAAAAAGTCGTCATCTTTTAAGGGGACCACCACCGTTTTGCTATCCTTGGTTAGCCAGAACGCCGAGCCAACCCTAGTCCACTTCAAGTTGGTCGTGAGTGACCGTTGGAATTGCCAAATCGATAACCTTATACCTCCCCAAACTCAGGAGGTAGAAGCACGTGAAGTCCTGAAGCCAGGATCAACTACTGTGGCATCTGTGTTGCAGCTGCAATTCGACCATCCCTTCGAGGAGGTCGTCATCCTCTTCAGGGTGTACGACATCGTCGACGGCCGCCCTGCGTCGGGGGTCATCCAACGCCTCAACAAGGCCCGCCTGGAGGGCAGCAGCTCCTGCGACGTGAAGCTGGTGGTGGACGGCGTGGAGCTGGACGCGCACCGCGCCGTGCTGGCCGAGCGCAGCCCCGTGCTCAACAGGATGCTG